AAAAAAAAAAAAAAAAGGTGGACAGCCAGCCTGGAAGAAGTAAAGACAGCACAGCAGGGAGATCACTGGACTTGGGAGGTTGCCATGTTCTTCCAGGACTGCGAATTCTTATCTCCAAGAGAGAAATGGAGGTGGAAATTCATACTCATCTCCCAGCGAAATGCCCAGTCCGTGTGGTGGGACAGTCAGACCTCACAGAATAAGGAGTTTGCAGTAAAGTATTACTCGTAACGACATCAGAGGGGCAGCTGGAGCCCGGCAGGTACGCTCCGGGGTCTGGCTGGGTCTCTGGTCTCGCTGTAGCTGGCAGAAGGGAAGGACCAGGAGCAGCAGAGAGCTCTCAGCAGCCACAGCGGGCCCTCGCCTCCCTCCTCACCCCTCATAGCTCCTGGAGACCAAAACGCAACATCCAAAGAGCAGGGGAACATCAGGTAGGTGCTCCACAGTGCACTCCAGAAGCCCCCTCTGTTAATGCACACCCATCAACCCCTATGGAAAAACGTGGCGTTACAAACAAGCCCAGTGTGTGAACAGAGCTGGAATCCTAACGAAGCGCCTCGGATGATTTATAAATGGAAATTATGTGGAAAACAATTCATTCGGCCGGTCACTCGGGAGATTTTAGAGAACAGAAACAAGGAAGGGTTTCTTGTGGAAGATGAGAAGAGACAAAGGGAAGGGGGACAGAAGGCAGGAAACAGAAGAGGAGGGAGGCAGCAAGATATCCTGCAGGTGCCCCATGAATCCCGGCCAGAGAAGCGGCTCCGGTTCCTGCCCAGCCATCAGAATAGCGCTCTCTTCCAGAGCACAAGGTCCCAACTTTGCATAACCAGGGCCTGAATGTAAATTGCTGCCTTGGTTAATACATAAATTGTCGACTGTTCCCTTCTATTCCAGCAGAGACAATTATGAATACAGGCCTCCTGCCCTTTAGGATGATTAACATTCCCTTTCGTTAGTGTCCCCAACGCTGCTGACCCACATCCAGCTTGTGAAATTCAGTTATATGTAAACTGCAACGTTCTGTGTCAGCAAGATGTGCCAGAGCTCAGAGCCGGGCGCGCACAGCACACGCTCTGCTCCTCTCCGGGGACAAACGCCGCCCTCCGCTTCAAAACGCCTCCGAAAACCCCGGCCCTTTAATCCCAGAACGGGCACCAAAATATTCTCCGCTTCTCTTTTTTAGGGAAAAGGGGCCGCAAGCCAGGAACGCTCACGCTGTTATCTTCAGATGCCATGTCAAAGTCCGCTTGACCTGGTAAACGTCCACAGGAGAGGAAAACAGAGCGCCTCACCAGCAGACCCCCTTCCATCCAGGAGATGCCACAGTTACTAATTTCACCTTCCTGAAAAGGCCTAAAACGCCAGGGGACGATATATTTTTAAGCTCAGGCAGACGTTGGCGCTGGGATTCCTTTCGAGACATCCGACGAGCGCGGTGGAGCCCGAGGAGGGGCCGTGACGAGCAAACCAGCTTTTCTCTAAGAGAATGTGACACGGGGTCAAGTTTGCGCAGGGATTTGGTGGCTATATTTGAACGCCGCCCGGGTCTTCTACGCAACTACTACTGGAAGAGATCACCTCGGGAAGGGGCTGCCAGCGCGCTCAGCCACCGGGCTACGGCTGCCTTCGGCCATCAAAGAATTCTTTCAGATCCCTGAATGGGACCATTTTGCCAGGGCTTCACTTTCTTCTCAGTCACTTCCATTAGGTCAAACTATGAGAAGTATCACCGCCGTGAAAACGCGCTCTCGGTGGCGTTATTGTGTATTCCCACTGCCGTTCAAAGAAGCCTTCCCGTGCAGACTGGCCCTTTCCAAGGCCTTCAAATGCCTCCCCCCGAACCTCAGGGGTCCCAGAGCCCGAAATGAGTAGCCCCCCTTTCCTCCCAGAGCCGGCAGTGACGGCCCTGCCAATGGAGGAGCAGTATTGAAACAAGAGCGCAGGCAAAAAACAATCATTCGCTTGCACTCCTCTTCACGGGCTGGGATTTGGAAGGAAACCTGACCTCGGAGCCGAGAACGCTTCCAGGTCAGGTTTCATCTCCCAGTGAAGAAAGCTCGGCCTTCCTAGCAGCAGCAGAGCCCAGCAGAAGACAGCAGTTCTTCCCCCACGGGGACTTCCCCGGCCTCTAGGAGCACCCTGAGTTCAGAGGGGTCTCATCCCCTCCCTGCTGCAGTGACCCCCACGCTCCATTGGGCTGGGTGGCCACCACCAGCTCCACCATCCCCACCGCCACCACCACCAGCAGCTCCACCATCCCTCCACCACCACCACCACAAGGAGCTTCTTCCCAAGGGCACCACACCACCCTCCCTCACTGCACGGTGGCACAAACGAGCATAAACCACCGTTCAGCAAAGCACGAGGCTTTCAAGCTTCGCACCCTCTCCCATCACCCCCAGAATCCAATGGCCCTGTCAATGTTCAACGCCACTCCCAGACGAAATTCGCGTGTTTTTTGCCGTCCTGCAGAAAAATATCACCTATACCCATGCCAAAGAGGGTCTCTGCTCTGCTATGTTGCAAAATGCGGAGTTGCACCTCTCAAAAGGGGACCCAGACTCCAGAAAGGAGGCTGAAAACAGGGGGGCAAGCAGTAGCCACGGGAGTTGGAGGCCCCTGAATTACCATCCCTGCTTCGAGCACCAAGATTCGGCTTTGTCGGGGGGGGAAGCAAGGGCCGAGGCCCCCAAAACCAGCCCAGCTGCCCAGGCAGATGGCAGCCGGGCTGGAAGGGCAGCGGCCGGGAGGCGTGAAGGCACCGGTTCTTTCAGCAATGGCTTTCCCTGGGTTACCTGGGCAGGAAGGCAGAGCTCCGAGGCGCCAGAGCAGGGCCCGGTTTGCGCCGCTGCTCCCGGGGGAGGGAGCTCCCGAAACTGACACGGGGCCCGGGCAGCGCGGGGGCTCCACCGGCGGGGCCACCGGGGCTGCTCCGGGGCAGGGCAGAGCAGCGGCGGGGGAACGGGGGCGTTCATGGAGGCCTCTCCGCTCCCGGCCCCGCTTCCAGCCCCATTTTCCACCGCGACACCCTCCGGAGCGGCCCCGGCTGTAGCACCAGCAGCCCGGCGTGACGGGAGGGACGGCCACGGCTGCCGCCACCTTCCCCCTCCTGGGGGACCCAACGGAGCCCCCGACCCGCCGCCACCTGCGGACCGGAGCCCCGGCAGGCCCCGCCGAGCCGTTCCTCCCCCGGCCCGGCGCCCTTCACCCCGGGCGGTATCCCCGCC